GGGGGTTACAAAAGCCTGCAACGGTCTTGCGTGTGGTGCCAGCGGGTTCAAAGTGACCAGCCTCCCTGGGTCCGTCTGCATCGCTGGCGCTTTTGTCGGGAGGCTTGCGGGAGCCACCCTGAATGGCGTGGCTAATGTACAAGCGGATCAGTCTGCCCCTTGTCACTCAGTGGGTTTGACCAATCAATCAGTATCAGGTCTGATCAGTATGGGAAGGCGGCGAAGGGGAACTTGCTTTGAATTCCGCCTCGCCAGGGACGGGGAGAGCAAGCAGCAGCCCTGGCTTCTGTTTCTCTCTGTTGCCGCCTCACCGTCCCCACACCTCACTGTCCCTGCGTCATGCTTGGTGACATTCTTTGGCAGCAATGTTCTCTCTTTGACTATCAGATTCCTTTTGGAATCCAAGGTCCCCTGCTAGTATTATGGGCCTCTTATAGGTCTTTAGGGCTATTGCCTGTGCTTTTAATATGCATAGGACCTCACCTATTGACTTCATATAATGGCTGCAATTTACATGTTGCTTTGCATGTGATTTGCATTACATTAGGACATTCCCCTGCCAATGAATATTTATCAACAGTCACACATACCATGGAAGATGCTATATAATGAGAACGAGGACTCGGGATACAAAATCCTCTACTCTAATTCTTTGTGGCTTTTCAACAGCAGCCTCTAGTCCTTTCCAGTCCACTAATCCATCTCTCCACCTACTCTTCTTTGACAGTTTCTTCCTAAAAGTTGATGCTCTTGGGATACTCGCTGGTTCCGCTTCTCAGAGCTTAAGCCTGGTCTGGAGTGCAGACCTGAAGAGGCAGAGTGTGTACTGAAATTGCACACGGGTGTGAGTGTGGGTCTCTAAATCATTTCAGCCATTGACATTGTGGATTTCTTGGGCTCCTCCTTTCAAATGCATCGAGGGAGAGCCCCGGGCTTCGTTCCCTTAACACTGAAGAAGAGAAGAAACTGAGGCTAGACCTTAGGAGGGATTGACCAAGGGCTATGACACCAAGTTCAAGCCCAACCTGAGGCTAGACTGCCTTCGATTCAACATGTAGTTTCTGGATTCTCTTATGCCGGAATACTGCGTTGGATGCCGAGGAAGATGCAGAAGAAAAGTCTACCGTGGAGAGTTCGTACTACGTCTTCCCTTCCCACCCGCGGTCCTTCTGAACTCACCTTGGGGCAGTTTGCCTTGCCCAGGTGTTGAACTGCTCACAGTGGACCTGTGTGATATTTGGCTCCCATTGCCTCAAAGATTCCCCCTCCAGTGTGTGAGGGCCCCTCTTTGAAATGGGCCCTTTGTAGAAGCCAGAGTAGTTTAGGTCATGCTTTGGCAACAGATACATCTGAGAACATTCAATTGCATAATCCCCAAAGATGGCCAGCTCTCCTCCACGCGGTAACTCAAAGATCCTGGCTCGTTGTTATCTCCTCTGGCTCAGCCATCAGAGAGTCTCTGGCTTCAGTCATAGGGACAGGGATGTGCAAGATATCTCAGGGGTCCAGCCGAGAGGTGGTGTGCGTCGCTTCTGTCCACGTGCCTGAACTCAGTGACACGACGGCCACCACTGCAAGGAAGACTAGGAACTGCAGAGATGCTCGTAGCTATCTGTGAACACTAGTGATCTCGGCCATGTGCACTTAGCTCTGGGCTTCAGACAAATCGCCTGTTCTCTGTAAGCCTTACGTCTTTACCCATAGAATGGGGGCAGTGTCCCCTAGCTTGTGAGCATTAAATAAAATAATACATATGAGGGCTCCTGCCAGCACAGTGCCAGGCACAGAAGCAGAGCCTTAAAAGAAATATTCCCTTCTCTTTTCCATCTTGCCCCTCCTCCCTACTAGTTGTTGCTGAGCGTGTATAGGAAAACAGGAGGCAGAATGGGCTCCATATGGTTTTAATTGGATAAGCCAGGATGTGAGGAGATTCCGTTTGCATTCTTTGCTGGTCTTCTCAAGGCGAATGAGTAATATCTAGCTGTTTGGAAAGAAGAGGTCTTCCTAGCCCACGTCAAGCCCTTCCTGACTGTTTTGGTGGCTGTGTCTCCAAGCCCTGTTGGAAAAGATAAAGGACGCTGCCTGTGAGCACCAGGGTGTGGAACTCCAAAGCCATGGCAGTTGGCTGGGTTGTTCTTGCCAGTTGCACAGAGAGCGAGGTAGGCTGCGCGCCCTCCAAACTGTTAACATGGATGCCAGGAGCTGACTCAGCTGGACATTGCTTCCTGGGCAAGCTGAAGGTGGGTGGAGGTTGTGTGTCCAGATGGGCTGTCTCTCTCTGACTCGAGTCTCAAAGGTGTTGACATCAAGGGCACAGCTTTGGGCCGGGCGCGGTGGCTCACGCCTGTAATCCTAGCACTCTGGGAGGCCGAGGCGGGCGGATTGCTCGAGGTCAGGAGTTCGAAACCAGCCTGAGCAAGAGCGAGACCCCGTCTCTACTATAAATAGAAAGAAATTAATTGGCCAACTAACATATATAGAAAAAATTAGCCGGGCATGGTGGCGCATACCTGTAGTCCCAGCTACTCGGAAGGCTGAGGCAGGAGGATTGCTTGAGCCCAGGAGATTGAGGTTGCTGTGAGCTGGGCTGATGCCACGGCACTCACTCTAGCCTGGGCAACAGAGTGAAATTCTGTCTAAAAAAAAAAAAAAAAAAAAGGGCACAGCTTTGGAATCGTTCTATGTAGAAAGGCCTGGCCGATGGCCTAGCCTGCGTTCTCATCATCTAGAATATGTTAGAAAAGTCAATCAGATTGGAAATCTGGCCTTCCTCTCCGTACAGTTCTTTGTCTCCTCATTCCCAAACTCCCATTTATGCCAGCTGGCATGATATACATTTTCTCCTTGTGACCCCTTGACAGTTTAGGTTAATTAAAAAAAAAAAAAAAATTTAAGATTTTATTTAAGGCAATTGTGGAAATCATTGCATGCCCAATGCCTAAAAGAAACCAGATTATAGTACTAAACAGTTGCATTAGAAGTACTTTGGGTTGCAAGTAAGAAAACTTGAATACCAGTGGTTTAACCCTTTGCACTCGGATGTTGAGTGTGACTCGACACGGTTAGCAAAAATTATAGAGATTAAAATTACTCTTTGAATGTATCAATAATTTGAAATATAAAAAATCCAAATAAGTTTGTATGAAAAGAAACTCCAGTTTTTTGTTCTACAGCTGCACTTTGTAAACTCTGGGGTATTTAAAAATTAAATCCTGAGTAGAATAAGGGAATTGAGAAAAAAGCAAGCGAGTGCAAAGATTTAAAAATTTAATTGCCTCACAAGGAGATCTGGGGGTTGGTAGTGCAGCGCTGGTTGGGCACTCGAGAATAATCCCCAAATCCATGCTTCCCTCCACTTTTCTACATTTCCTTTCTTGGCTTAACTTGTTGGCTTTTTATCTTCAGGGAGGTATCCTCATGATCACAAAATAGCTTCTGCAGCTCCAGGCATCACATCCACATTCAAGGCAAGAAAAAGGAACAAATGAATAGCGCTAGCTCTATCTGTCTCTTTTATCAGGACAGCAAGAGTTAACCTTAAAATATATACCAGGAAAAGCAATTATTTTTAAGTAAAGCCAATACAACCCAACTTTAGTTACAAATTTTAGGTTCGTTCACGTTTCTGGAATCTCTCCCTTCTCCCTAGTCCTTCCCTTATAGTGGGAACCTTAGCCCACAATTAAGTTATGTTCTTCTCTTTTCCTGTGGCATGTCTCTGAAAGGAGAGAGACGGACTTCCAAGAATCACAGAAAGAGACACAGAGAAATAGAGTAATATAGAGGACATAGAGAGAAGAATTTTGATCTATTTCAATCGATGTAAATCAATACTGTCGCTGCTCACACACTCTCTCCCCACCTCCCCCCATAACATTTTCAAATCACCTGCTTCCAGTTTACCTGCTTTCCAACTGAGAGTCTGGATCTCAGAGTTTGGGTAGTACCACTTTAGAACCAACTGCTGACGCATGAATGTCTGTGGGCAAGAAGGTGGGTGGATGGTCAATCTCATTAAAAATCATTTTACGGAGGCGAAAAAAGGAAGGAAATCTGTTACGGATGTAGAAATCAACTTTTCCTTACCTGTGTGGAGCTGGATCTGAAGTTTGGATAGGGGGGTTTCCGTACCTGCTTTGATATGTGTAAATAAAAACTGACTTCAGACACCAGTTCATTCAAACATTAAAACAACAACATTCATTCTTCCTTCTCCTCTTCTTTCTGTATTCTATGAAAATGGAAATGAAGGCTCCGGAATCGTAAGGGAATGTTCAAAGCTTGCTTGGAAAGATCGCATTAGGTAGCTAGATGTTTTATTTTGTTCTATTCAAGGCACCTATCCAAAGCCAAGGCTCAGGGCAGGCATTGCTAATCAGTTACTGTCAACTGCCTCCTACACACATGGCAGACATTGCCAATCAATCACAGCCAACTTCAAGGTGGTTTATGGTTTCACAATCCATTCCAGTAGAGTCCTTCGGGAATCTACCACCGGCCCACCAGGGTTGACCGCTGAGATGCAACGCAACCTACTTATCGTACTTGTCACAGACGTCTTCCATTGCTTTATTTGAATAGAACTAAAAACCCGAACACTATTTGATTCATTCACTTGAACTCTGTTTAATATTTTTTCTAAGATGAGACATTTCCATTTAAACAAATTCTACCCTGATACACCCACATCATAAAGATCTCTGTTAAGCCATGGGCTCAGAGACCATATGGAATATGCCCCGAATTCTGTAACTGTTGCCTCGGGGTGCACACAGCTGGCCTTGGAGGGAGATGTTCCTGCAGAGAGGTGTCAACTTCTTTTATGCAGGGAGCTTCCCCGGACAGCAACAGTGGGTGGTGACATAGGACACACCTCTGTCCTCATCAGAACTCCCAACTCTCCTTCCCACAGCTGGGAACATTTGCTGGTGGGTGGGGTGTCCCGAGTAGAGAGAATGTACCCTAGAATTAGTGACGATAGCATTTCCCCTTCCCCACAGGGCTCCGGCACTGTGACAGCACAGAGAATTGATTCCCGCAGAGCTGGGCTGAAAGGACCTGAGAATTCTAGATCTTCGTATTACGCAGTGATGCCGAGCTGATTTGGAAGAAGGGGGACAGACAGGGTAATATTCCATTGATGGGAAGGGCAGCCAGGTAAGTAAATGGTGGCTGAGGCTGCTAACTATTCTCATTGACTTAAAGAGCAAATTAGAGCATGGCCACAGCTAGAAGGTGCTAGCAAAAGTATTAACCCTGTTTGAAGCACGGCTTTCTCCCCAAGGCAGTTACTTTTGTCGTTTTAGTTAAGCCTCGAACCTTCATTGGGTGGGGTAGCTGGATGGCTCGAGCCGGCTGTAGGTGTGAGGCAGGAGGATTTTGAAATTTGCACATGTTTGTATATAACACAATTTTCATTTGCAAATGTCTGTCACTTGATGGAGACTCTTGGGAGTTTAGAATTGTGAGCACACAACACAGTGCTTTTGAGCTCCTCTTCCCTAAGGTGGACATTCTGTAGGAGGTAAATTTATTTTCACAAATTCATATCAAAATAGTGGCTGATGTGTATTGAGTTTTTAACTCTTGCCGGGCATTGTTTTGAAGCACATTCTATGAGACTGTTTAATCGTCATAACCCTTTAAGACTGCTACTATCATGAACCCTACTTATAGATGAGGAAATAAAACCCAGAGAAGTTAAGTGACTTTCCCAAGGTCACGCAGCTACGAAGTGGCAGAACCTGGATTTGAACCAAATGCTATGGCCTCCTATGAAACCCGACACTTCACTGTGCCCGTCGCCTGTCAAATGCGCTGATCAGTGCTCACCATCTGTTTTCCCTGAATGAGGGTGAAGAGATTTCCTCTCTAAGTAGCAGTACTGGTTCTAGGTGTCAGTCTTCAGCCCGGTTAGTGTTTCCTGCTGCTTCGTCACGGCGGAGAATGCCCCAAATCCTCCAGCCACCAGCCCGGCTACTGGATCCTTCTCTTTTCCCCATCTCGTCTTAACCTAACCCTTCCTCGTCTCTCCTCCACTTCCTGATCACGTGCATGGGACCCACATTCCAAGGGCGGCGAGAACTTTAGCCAGGGAGCCCCAGTTGTTGTTGTTTTTCAACCTCCTTTGATCCTGTTTTGTGGTTGACTTGGCTCAAGTCCACATCTGTCACCAATGGGCTTTAAAGCGGCTGCAGCTCAAGGCCCATGTCGGGTCTGACCTCAACACGCCCAGATCCGAGCCAGCCATTTCCTTTCGGGGCTGGGCGAATACACGGGGTTTCTCCCATTTGGCATTTCTCTCTCTCTCTCTCTCTCTCTCTCTCTCTCTCTCTCTCTCTTGCTCTCTCCTCCCCCTCAATAATCCTTCAGGCTCAGGAAGGACCTTAGCGTGCCTCTGTTGCTGCACGGCATATGTTGTGTTCTAATCCTTCCTGTGTTTGCTGTAGGTATGGCGGCTCTCCAAGACAAATTACTGATGTTGTCGAGGAGGTCACCAGGGCGTCCTTCTGATGGGGGATGGGAGGGAGATGTCTCTTGGTGCTGCACTCCCGGGGCCGCCTCCGCGCCTCTTGGCCTGTTTGGTGCTCGGCTGATGCCAGCGCTAGGCCTTGGGACACCAAGCTGTGAGCTGGCAGAAGGGGAAGGAAGGGACAAGTGTTACCTACCGGTCTTGTCATTTGATGAAGGACAAGCTCGTGCGGGGCAGGCCCCGGGCAACAGATGTTGGGGGAGGACCTGCCAAAACCAAGTTGGGGGCGAGGGGGTGACGCATATGTTACTTGACGCTGGGTGGGGGTGTGCTTAGGGAGACCACGAGGAAGCAGGCCTTGTCCCCATGCACCGCGACACCTCCTCGGGGAAGTGAATGGTGAAGGCAGAGAAGCACGGTCCACCTACAGACAGGGACTGGGGGGCTCGGGGCAGGCAGCTTGAAAGATGCTTTTGGTTCTCTCTGCCCCACCGATGGCCCCCACCGCCCTGCCGGGTGGCTGGCAGGCGTGGTTGGAAGTTTTGTGTGAGCTGCAGAATGAGAAGCAGTGCACGTTTGGTGGAAGAGCCGGCTGCAGGGCTACCTTCCCTTCTTCCTCCCTGTTAACGGCCCACCAGCCCCCCAGGCCCACATCGATAAGGGGTTGTGATGCCACGCTCAGTCCCTTTTCCTGGATGATGCAAATGAAGTCATATGGGAGACAGCCAGAGGGGCCACCCAGCTGTCTTTGCTGACAGCAAGAGGGAGCATCTAGGAAAATGAACACTGTTCAGCAGGCTCAGGTCCTAAAACAAACAAACAAACAAAACAGGCTACAGGACCACTGGAAATCTAAGGTTGCACTAAATGAGAGGCAGGCAACAAAGTAGGAAGGAAATGGGCTAAAGTCTATGGTTTCTTTCGTTCTGTTTGAGTTGGGTTTCCTTGGGTCTCTGCATTCTCCTGGTGGATAGAGCTGGCAGAAGACACACGTGGCCAGCCGTACCCCCGTCTGCGAGGTGGTGTGTGTGGGGTGCAGGGAAGGAGTGGTAAGCAGGAGGAAGAGGGAGACAGTGGGAGACCGACCCAGGGAATAACATATTTTGCAAATGATCCCAAGACCTAAGTTTCTCTCCCCAGCTGTTGCCCTCCTGGAGGCGGGGGGAAGGACAACCCAGTTGCGGTCCACGGCTAAATCCAGGGACGCCTCAGAACATGCTCCGAGCTGGGGGAGACCCCTGCTAGAAAAGGAGGTCAAAGTTGATTCCCACAGAATGAAACAAGCCTGTCAACCGAGCCTTGGTTGCTTTCAGGAATTTCAACCTGTTTCCACCCCCGGAGATTCTAGGAGGTCTAGAGAGAGGGAGGGAAAGAAGGAAGGGAAAGGGTTGGGGGTGAAGAACAACTGCAGAGAAACAGGAGATGTAGAGAGAGACCAGAAGGATGGAGAGGGAGTGAGGGGGGGGGAGAACGAGGAGGAAGAGGCCTGGGGGGAGGGGGCGGGGGGGGTAGGAAGAATACCACGTGCAGTGAACGTGGAGGGACCCCAAAGCAGCCAGACCTGTGGCCGTGTTGACCTTGACATGCTCCTGGACCTCGTGCCTCCTTGCTGCAGACTAGTGGAAGGAGTTTCAAGACACCGAATCAAGTTTGGACCCAGACAAGAGGAACCGTAAGAACGAACACGCTCTGGCTCGAACATCTCTCCCTTCTCTTTCCTGCTTCCTTGGAAATCGCCCGAGGGTTTGTGGCGTCCTCACGCTGCATGGGCGGCTCGCTGGTGGCCAGGAAGAGCTTGTGGGAAGCGTCGGGATGGGGGCAGCTTCGCATGCAGCGTGAACAGGCCGGACGTGTTTCTTCTGCTGCCTGGATTCTCCCATGAGAGATTTATTCCATTAGATAGCAAAGGTGTTTTAGAAGTTGCTATGAAACTTTACAAAAACAACACCCTGGCAGGGTGTATCAGTTTGCTAAGGCTGCCATAACAAAGAAGCCCAGGCTGGGAGCCCAGGAATTTATTCTCCCAGGGTCTTCTGGAGCCTGGAGGTCTCGGATCAAGGTGTGGACTAGGGTTGGTTTCTCCCCAGTTGGTAGACAGCTGTCTTCCCCCTGTGTCCTCATGCGGTCGGTCGTTCCTCTGTGTGTGTCTGTGTCCTAATCTCCTCTTCTTATAAGGACACGGGTCATATTGGATTAGGGCCCACCCAAATGACCTCATTTCACCTTATTTATTGATTTAAAATTTTTACCATTATTTTTTAAGGCTAGTTAAGTGAAGCAGTGGGAGTGGAGAAGGAACAACAAAATCAGTGACTGGTTTGATCAATTAGCTATAAACACCAATGCACTCAGACCACCCTGATTTTGTTTTAATTACCTCTTTAAAGGCCCTGTCTCCACATACAGTCACATTCTGAGGTGCCAGGGGTTAGGACTTCAACATATGGGTTGAAGACAGGGGGTAGGGAGGGAGGCACAACTGAGCCCATAACAGAGGAGTGGAACCTCAGTCTTTATCAGGCCTTCACGGGTTAGCAGGGGTCTGAGAGCTGGCTGAGGACACCCCAAAAGTAAGGAAAGCCAGGCTCAGAGCAGTTCAATGACTCACCCAAAGACACAGAGCTTGTTAGGGAAAGAGCTGGAATTTCAGCACAGGTCAAGTGGGACTCCAGTGTTTGCTCAATGCTTCTATGGGGCAGAGAAAGAGTAAAGATGGAAGAGGGGTTGGGGGGATCCCCATCCGGAAGAAGATGCTCCCCAAGGTCGAGGGAGGGTGTGTGGCTGGGTCTATGGGAAGAGACCTCAATTCCTGAAACATCTCTGACTGCCAGTGACACTCTCATGACCTATGACCCTCCAGCCCCACCCCACCCCCACTCATTTCTAGTTTTAAAACATGTGCCCAGCACTGCAATTGAATAAACACATCAAGTTTCTAGGACATGCCTGTGTTTCTAATCCTTCAGAGGGATTTTTAGCTTTCAAGGGTGCCCTATAAAGGCAGAATTACATAATTACCAAAGTTCCCAAACTCTGTCTTCAATCACAAACAGACATACATACACTGAATTTTTTTTTTTTTATCGTGGTTATTTTTATACTAATAGTTTCAAATTTTGCAGCTTCCAGAAATTTCGTATTTCCAGTGATTCTAAGTAGAAGTGAATTTTAGTTTATTTTAGTACGTGGTTTATTTTAATACCAAGTGCTAGGGTATAAAGGAGGTTGACTTTGGCCTGGGCCATATTATGGGCCAAGGTGAGTGACAGCAATCACCACGTCCACAGCACCTGCTATGTGCTGGACACAAACGTCTAAGCGCTTTGCTTATATTAATCCATATAATCCTTTCCTATGGGACACATGCTGTTATCATCGTCATCATTTGCATGTTACAGATGAAGATGCCAAAGATGGAAAGTCTGGTCAACTTCCCCATGGTGCTGAGCTCCTAAGAGGAAGAGCTGGAGTTGGATTTGAGCAGTCTGTGTCCGGAGCTTCTCAGCCCCATACTGCTGACATCTGGGCTGGAACATTCTTTGTTTCGGGGCCTGTTCTGTCCATCGTAGGATGCTGAGTAGCACCCCTGGCCTCTCTACTCACTAGGTGCCAATAACACACATTCCTTCCCTAGTTGTGACAACCAAAAATGTCTCCAGACATTGTCCTCTTAGGGGGCAAAATC